GTTGATAGAACGAATGATACGAACGATACGATACAGTCTTCTATCCTGCTCGCTTCAACAATTAGTGGGTCACATGGAGTGGGTTTGGCACCGTGCCAAACACATCCCACCTGATCCACCCTTTCATCCGCAGCGAATAATACTGTAATACTGTAAATACAATAACGGCACCTGGATTGATGTTGATTTGAACGCTTGCGATGCCACAAGTCTCATGGAGAATCAGAGCGAACCTTTCGAGATTATGCAGTGCTGACTGGATATCATCACTGATCTGCAACAAAACTCCTGACTTACTACCAGAAATGAGATCGGCGCCTCTGTAGCAAGGGGAGAGGGGCAGAAAAACTAAGGCCACGCGGATTTTGGCCGTCTGCGCCCCTTTGAGGCTGGGCCTTGAGAGCTTCAGTCACGAAACCCCTTCATTCATTTTCCTTTTCCCTCCTTTGGCTTCTCCTCCTTCTTTAGTTTCCTCCAAACCCTCAGAAAGAAAATTGTTCTGTACTCTCACAGGACAATTCTGTTCGGCAGACGCTCTGTAAACAGCTTGGAGAGGGATAGGGTCACCTCCTCCATAGGAGGGGAGGGCAAGGAGCTGCGCACTTGCTAGAGCTGCCGCGCGCCAGCACATCCACAATAACCATATGAAATGTTTTTTTTTATATAGATGAGGGAATTAGTATTAGGATAGGTCTGCAAATCTCTATCGTCCAAAAATCGTGGTTCACCTGTGGTGTGAGCTTGAGACCGTTATCCGTAGGCACTCTTTTTCCGGCACGTATAGCAAGCTGTTCACATTGGGCAAGTTCGTCGCCAATAGTACGTACCAATTCGGAGACGTCACATCCTTCGAGTCCGGGCTACAATATGATACAGTTCATGCATTTACTGAGTAAGTGAAAAGGAAACGAGCTCACCTTCAAGAAGAACGAAACGCGCTGGTTATTGACCTTGCACCAAGCTATTCCGCTCACGATCTGTTGGCAAACATTTCTCAACCAGGCAGGAGTATCGTAGGTATCCGCACTGACATTCACTGACAGAACGTTCTAAAGCATTGCGA